TCCTTGTAATTATGTTTTGCTTGGATGCTTCTTCTCCCCATTTTTCAGAGTTCATTATCATATCACTTGGCATCACAACCATTTTCCTATTTCAAAAAATTGTTTTCTACTTCTGAGCATTTCTTTGGCCTTTGCCCAAGTATTGGCTTACGATGTACTGATACAGTAAAAAAAAAAGTCTTATGTATTTTCGGCAGTTGTGCTTAGCAATCTCTAACTTCTCTTTACATGTATTTTCGGCAGTTTTTATGTTTATTGTTATGGTATGGGATATTTTGAGAATCTGTTTGGGATTATTGTTACTATGAATTTTTTTTACTTTGATTGCACATTTGTTAGTTTGGAAATTTTTGAGAACCCATTTGGGATTTTTGTTGATTAATTGAGTTTGTGAGTGTCTTTCTGGGCACCACCGAGAGCTGTAAGTAAGTCTTGATTGTTATGATTTTTTTTATTTTTTATTTTTTGATACGAGATTTGTTAATTTGGAACCCATTAAATTTTGCAATGGCACTAGAATTGCAAGCCATGGAGAAAAATGGTGGCTGGAACATGTTTGATTTACCTCCTAAAAGTCACAGGTGAATTTGGAAGTATATTGAATTGTTAGATTGCTAACTTTACCTTTGTTGTTGGTGGTTGATTCCCATCTTAGAATGCCCAGAACGAACAGAGGAATATGTCACAGTTATAGGGCGAAAGATCACTTCTTCGCCGAGTGCCCAAAAAAATGCAGTTGCACACTATGTAAGAATGGATTTGAGAAATGTTTTGTAGTGGAGAAGGAGGGTGAATCCAGAGGGAAATTATTCCTTTGCTGTAGTAACAATTGTGGATTTGGGACTGGGTTATAAAAGAAAAATCGAGTGGTCCATCTACAGGCAATAGTGCGAAACTTATTAACCCGTGAAGACTGAAATAGTGGAAGAAATGTCCCGTTCGTTCCAATCTCGAGTTCGAATTAGTGACGAGGACGAGCTCCAGATTTCCGTGAACATGACGATTCGGACTGAAAAAGTGAGCGCCCAAGGGGATGCAAAAGGGAAACAGCTAGCTTGATTAGAAGATAGTGATCGAACGGGTTTTTTGAAGAAACATTTCTATGTATTCGTACCCTTGTACTATTAAGTTTCATTATGAAATCTTGTAGTCTTAAATTATGTATGAGAATATATTGTTATCTCAACTTTGGTTTTTAGAAGTAATTTAAACATTTCTATGTATTTGTCTAAATTATGTATGCATTATCTTGTTTAGCCCATATCATGTAGCTCGTGCTGTATGGTTGTGTAAGTAAAACGAAAGCCAAAAATTACGAGAAAAAAAAAAAAAAAACATCATTTAAGTTTGAAATTTGACCAGTAAACCCACACAAAAAAGTTTTGACCGTCTCTCCACTAGCTATCTGAAGCTTGGGAGAAAGAAAGAAAACCCCCAAATCGAATCCTTCGAAACCACCACCATCTCCGATCTTCCATATACGGCCCCGTCGACATCACCTTCATCTTTCACCGCAGTTCGCTCTGCCCCGTCAGTTTGTGAGCTCTGCAACGTGGCCGAAAAAATACCGCCATAAAAGAACCGATCGGTGTGGTCTCTGTCCCGGCTTCCAACGAAAGTAATATCATTTTTCAGCTGGTCTCAGGTAGGACACTGTCTATTTCGTCATCTTGAACTAGGGCTTCCGACAAATTTGTGCGCAAACTTGAATGGGTTCCATATTAGTTTCGCCTTTGCTGACATATTTGTGTGCGGGTCTTGAATGTGTGTTATCAGTCCTGTTTATTGAATTTTCGGCAGTTGTGCTTTGCAATCTCTACACTTCTCTTTTCATGTATTTTCGGCAGTTTTTATGTTTATTGTTATGGTATGGGATATTTTGAGAATTTGGTTGGTTTCATTTCTGCAAACAAAAGTTGAGTTTAACATGTGAATTGGAATTGGAAAATGTCGTCCTTGTAATTATGTTTTGCTTGGATGCTTCTTCTCCCCATTTTTCAGAGTTCATTATCATATCACTTGGCATCACAACCATTTTCCTATTTCAAAAAATTGTTTTCTACTTCTGAGCATTTCTTTGGCCTTTGCCCAAGTATTGGCTTACGATGTACTGATACAGTAAAAAAAAAAGTCTTATGTATTTTCGGCAGTTGTGCTTAGCAATCTCTAACTTCTCTTTACATGTATTTTCGGCAGTTTTTATGTTTATTGTTATGGTATGGGATATTTTGAGAATCTGTTTGGGATTATTGTTACTATGAATTTTTTTTACTTTGATTGCACATTTGTTAGTTTGGAAATTTTTGAGAACCCATTTGGGATTTTTGTTGATTAATTGAGTTTGTGAGTGTCTTTCTGGGCACCACCGAGAGCTGTAAGTAAGTCTTGATTGTTATGATTTTTTTTATTTTTTATTTTTTGATACGAGATTTGTTAATTTGGAACCCATTAAATTTTGCAATGGCACTAGAATTGCAAGCCATGGAGAAAAATGGTGGCTGGAACATGTTTGATTTACCTCCTAAAAGTCACAGGTGAATTTGGAAGTATATTGAATTGTTAGATTGCTAACTTTACCTTTGTTGTTGGTGGTTGATTCCCATCTTAGAATGCCCAGAACGAACAGAGGAATATGTCACAGTTATAGGGCGAAAGATCACTTCTTCGCCGAGTGCCCAAAAAAACGCAGTTGCACACTATGTAAGAATGGATTTGAGAAATGTTTTGTAGTGGAGAAGGAGGGTGAATCCAGAGGGAAATTATTCCTTTGCTGTAGTAACAATTGTGGATTTGGGACTGGGTTATAAAAGAAAAATCGAGTGGTCCATCTACAGGCAATAGTGCGAAACTTATTAACCCGTGAAGACTGAAATAGTGGAAGAAATGTCCCGTTCGTTCCAATCTCGAGTTCAAATTAGTGATGAGGACGAGCTCCAGATTTCCGTGAACATGACGATTCGGACTGAAAAAGTGAGCGCCCAAGGGGATGCAAAAGGGAAACAGCTAGCTTGATTAGAAGATAGTGATCGAACGGGTTTTTTGAAGAAACATTTCTATGTATTCGTACCCTTGTACTATTAAGTTTCGTTATGAAATCTTGTAGTCTTAAATTATGTATGAGAATATATTGTTATCTCAACTTTGGTTTTTAGAAGTAATTTAAACATTTCTATGTATTTGTCTAAATTATGTATGCATTATCTTGTTTAGCCCATATCATGTAGCTCGTGCTGTATGGTTGTGTAAGTAAAACGAAAGCCGAAAATTACGAGAATTATTAATCCCTGTTATGTAGAATACTAATCAAATAAGGGACAAATATTAAAGGATCACCCAAAGATTGTGTCATAATATAACTTTTATCATACATTTTGTTTGCATTTAGAGGTTGCAGTCTATGCCAAAAACATAACAATGAACAAAGAAAGAAGAAACTAAGATCCCCAAAATGTACAAGAAATTATTCTAAATCACCGAAAAATACACAGATGAGAAATGAAAACCAAAAAATTCACCTTTTAGCTTCCTATAAATGACAGAAATAGCTTCGGAAAAAAGATCAGCACTCGGCCTTGTCTTCTCTAATATGGAAAACAAATAGCAGCAACAAAAATCAACCAAACAGGTTCACAAAAATTTGAACTAAAAGTAGAGCATTGATATAATTCTAAAACATTTATATAAGAACCTAAAGAATATTTCATACATGATAAACTCAACAAATGAAAATCGAAAATTTATGTGAATCTGGAATCTGAGCAAGTACCCCAAAGAATGATAAAAAATAGAAAATATCATAAAAGGTTCCAAACAAACTCTTCAATGGATTTTAAAAAATCGCTAAATGGGATTCCAACAAAAGAACTTGCAGTCCACGTTGTCTTCAAAGAATCGTGAGAGAAAATAACAGAAAAGAGTGAAGAAGAAAACATAAATCTTGCAAAAACAAAAACTTACGGCAGTAATGATGAAATATAACTAAAACTTAGAAACTATAAGATAGCAATACAGATGCAGAAGTGAACATAAAGTTTAACAATATAAATACGACAAAACAATGTCCAACAACAATTCTAAAATCCACTAACTTCATCGGTCATAGTAATGCATAAAAATGACAAACTCCTCCAAACTCACTAAGTTAAAAATCATCAAACGTCAATAAAGATCCAGTCATGAGCCTCTTCTGTCTTTGTCCGGTAAGCTTGGATAGTATAATGGCATAAAGTCACCTGCATTAACAGACAAGCCAAAATGAGTAATGAGTCAATCCTTATGAAACGAAGTTTTAATTCATATGTAAGAGAAACTTGAATACCTTGCGAAGTGTACATAAAGTTGGCCGATGTTGGATGGATGAAATGTGCAGCTGATAAATGTTGGGAGACAGAGAATGGCATGGGGATGGAGTACTGTGGAATGGAGAAGGTCATTGGTGTCGACACACATTGTTGTTGTTGTTGAGGTGGCTCGACGTTGATTCCTCCATCCCTAATATTTGTTTGGCTTGCTCTCGGTCTTCTACAAGTGCTCGATGTTGAACCGAGCTGCATGTGGATAAAAGGTAATCTTAATTTATATTTCAAAATAGTGGGCTTGTTCAAAAATTACTCAATCCAACGTACCTTCACTTTCTTCGATGCAATCTCTAGTGGGCTTTTTCTTCTAAGTTTCCTTGGCGCTCCCTTTCTTCGAGTCGACTTCCGATCCAATGCGCTCACATTGGTGGTATTTGGTAAGTCAGTGCATTGATCTTCCACATGAGCAATTGTTTATGAAACAGGATTATTTCGTGCACTCGATTTCGTAATCATAAGCTCTTCACGTTGAACTTTTATCCATTCCATTACCAAACGCGAACGCTGCTCATCATCTGCAGCAAGATTTGCCACCTCCGCAAAACTATTAGACATCTCTTCGTATCTTAATTGTGTAGGAGTGCTAACTAACTCGTCGTAGTTGACTGCAACCCTCATGTGTGCCTTTGGAATATCTCTCCTCTACCTTCGCAGTATGTACTTATTCGGAATATGTGTGACGTCATTCCTATCCAACACTGTGATCGCATGTCTGCAAAGTATTCCCCGAAACTCGAATAGTTGACATGAACAAACAATATCACAGCTATCTCTCATGAGTGACACCATGAATGTCTTTTTCCTCCGAGAACCCTCATACATGATAGTCTCTCGCACTTCATATGTCGCACCAACACATCCATCCGAAGCAGAGAACATGTCGTAGTGCATCTTTCCCACGAATTGTTGTTGAACTTCACGAAATTTTGAGATTGTGTAAACTGACTGAAACTGTTTCTCTATTTCAAATTGTGTTGCACATGGTAACATCTGTGAGAACGACTTAAAATCAGCCTGAAACTCCTTCTCAACTTTGTTTCTAAGGGCACGTTCATACTGTTCCACAAACTGCTTCAACGAGATTTTCGAATGCACGTAGACGTCAAAGAATGCATTCATACTCTCACTTCTCTGTGTAGTTGACATCCCAGTCTAGAATGTGGTTTTTAAGAAACAAGGAACCCAACGACGCCTATGATCCCACAATCCGGATAGCCAATCATTGTCACACAAGCCATACATATCAATCATCATTCTCCAACCGTGTTCGAATTCTTCAATGGACTACGAATCATATACCAATCTGTGTATAGCCCCAAATATCGAATGCTTATCCTCGTGGTAGCCAAACTTCTCCGACAACTTTTTCAAAATGTGCCACAGACACCATCTATGTCCTGTATTGGGAAAAACAATCTCAATTGCATTTTGCATTGCCTTATCTTGATTGGTAATGATACCTTGCGGAGCTCGATTGTTTATGCATTCAAGCCATGTCCTGAATAACCATACAAAAGTAGATGTGTCCTCATTTGATATTAGACCACAACCAAGTAGCGTCGTTTGTCCGTGGTGATTTACCCCAGCAAAAGGGGCGAACGGCATATCATACTTATTTGTAAGATAAGTGGTATCAAACGAAACAACATCGCCGAACTCCTTATACGCTTGCCTACACCGATTATCGGCCCAAAATACATTTCTCAGTCTTGGCTCGTCATCCAAATCAATACTATAGTAAAATCCCGAGCACTGAGCTTGCATCTTGGAAAAGTAAGATTGAATTGCTACGGCATCTCCTTCTCCAAGTCGTAATCTCCGTACTTGTTCTACATAATTTTGACAATCCTTTTCAGTACAAGTCAAGTTTTCATACCCACCTGCTTCTACAACTACTGAGTTGTAACTTTTATGCAACCTAATTCCTGCCAAATCATTCACCTCAAGCTTCCGTTTCATAGCTGCACTCAATTGTCTATTACATCGATATAACCTAGATTTTGAGGGACTCGTGTCATGATTGTAGTCAAGGTTTACTGCGTTAATTCTCCAGTTTCCCAGATAATCGCAAGATGCAGATATCCTTGCTTTACAACCCATCTTCACTGTTGGTTGCGGCTTTAAAGAACCGCTACTATTACCAACTTTTCCACCTTCGCGACTACATGTCAACGTCATGAATCTCAAAACTCCATCGTCCCCTTTTTTTGAATTCCTTTTCCTAATTGGAAAACCCACTGTGTAAGCGTATCTCTTATAGAAATCATACATATCTTGTTCAGTTTTGAACAACATTCCCACCTCGGGTATAATTATGCCATCTCCCCTTGAGGTTTCACCTTCCACTTCATTCATCGACTCTGTCACATTTTCATTCTCAGATGGCTCCAAAGCATCGTCATCCTTGTCTTCACCATCGTCCATGATTTTACCTACTGCAAATAACATAAAATCAGTCATATTGAACCAATTTTTTTGGTGTGGATTGCAGTCTGTTTACTTCATATCCTCATTTATTTCAATTCATATATAAAAAGTTAAATAAGATGTTGAACTAATAGGTTGTTGTCCATATATCACAAATGTTTACAGCCCAACAAAGTATAACAACCCATGCAAACTGCATTAGTGAACCAAAAAATAAGTTGAAGCCCACTCCTAAAAATCATTTATTCCCGTTAATTGATGGAAAATCATTTATTGATGGAATATTTGTGTAAATATTTTGACTTGTCACTAATTTGATCAAGGTCCAATTTTTTATTTTTAGCCAACACTCCCCTCCCCTTTTAACTTAAAAAAATATGTTTTCTGTGCTTGTGACTATTGGTAAATTTTGAAGCTGCAGGTTGGTTTCATTTCTGCAAGCAAAAGTTGAGTTTAACATGTGAATTGGAATTGGAAAATGTCATCCTTGTAATTATGTTTTGCTTGGATGCTTCTTCTCCCCATTTTTCAAAGTTCATTATCATATCACTTGGCATCACAACCATTTTCCTATTTCAAAAAATTATTTTCTACTTCTAAGCATTTCTTTGGGGAACACATGTGATTTGATGGGAAAACACAGGAACTCTACGACATTTTCCTCTGTCTTCCTAAATTAATTTCCCCCAAATAATTCTTTCAAAACAACCGGCAATATTTCTTTCAATGAATAGTGAAAAGAATATAAAAAAGATAAGACTAGGCAAAGAAGAAATATTAATTTAAAACCTAAATAAAAAATAACAAAAAAAGTATTATAAAGAAGTAACTTATATAATAGGTGAAGCAAAAAGATACTAATATTTTCTAAATACCCCATATGATGTAAGTAAATTATTATTTCTAAGTTAGTAGATTAATTGATAATAGATTAATATATATATATATACACATACCTACAAATTTTTTTACACGTGTTCCTGTGGACATAGTGAAAGCACAAATTGAAATTGATGGATTGAGGGCAAGTGAGGGGAACACAATTCCGAATTTTGATCCTCCCGTGGCCTAAAATCCCTTCTTTAATCATTGTTTCCCCCACTAAATTCTACAAAATTTGCGTAATAATCTCATGTTTGGCAAAATCTAAACGCCTCTTATTTGCCCAGGTATTGGCTTACGATGTATTGATACAATAAAAAAAATCGCAAAAGGGTTCTCGAAAAATTTGACCTTTCACTCTTATCTTCGTAGGTTGGGTCTCGGAGGGTCACCGGAAAGCAGCCAAATGGTCGGGGAGGTCGTTGTCGGACTTTATATATTTCTCGACGGAGCTGGATTCGTACACAAACACAAAGGGATGGTTCGTATCTACAGAAAGGGATGGTGGTTTTGAAAGAAATATTGTCGGTTGTTTTGAAAGAATTATTTGGGAGAAAGTAATTTAGGAAGACAGAGGAAAATGTCGTAGAGTTCCTGTGTTTTCCCACCAAATCACATGTGTTTTCTTTCCCTTTCTTTTTGTTTCCCACCAAAACACAAGAAGACAAAGACACGTAAGCAAATTTTGAAAGCCTATTTTTGAGTCTGTATGAGGGCCTGTTCGACTAGCATTATTCAAACCCCTATCATGCATTTGGTTAGTTATATGAACTAACACAAAAATTAACACAAAACTATCATGCACGTGTAAACAAAACAAAAGAAAATAAAATAAAAAATTCATATGTTACCAAATTAATTTCGGTACATGCACTACTAAAAAATATGGCTTTAGGCACGGATTTTTCGTTCCTAAAATCTTGGTATCCATTGCTATTACTCTTTACCAATGAAATAGTTGCAACCGCAAATCCATTGTTAATTTGAGGTCGCCGATAGTTACCAACGAATTTTTGTTGGTAAAATGTGAATCTTTTGCTAACGAAATTTCGATTGGTAAAAATCTTAACCAATACCAATCAACTTTTCGTAGGTAAATGTCTACCATTACAATAGGTAAAAATCAATGTTATAAATCGTTGCATAGGTGTGAGACAGAGTAAAAAAAAAAAAAAATTATTGTTATTATTTATTTATTTAATAATTCGAATTTTTTTAACTTTTAGGAAACCGAATTGAAAGGCCAAAATCTTGTTTAATTACTTATTAGACCACAAATTAATTTATAGAGGGCAACTCCGAAGATTTTGTTGTGAACTTTCAATGTGGGATAAGTGAATTACTTTTATCAATGGATAATCCGTTTCTAACTACCAACATAATATCCGTAGGTGAAATGTTCAAATATTAAATGATTACATGAGGCACGGAATATCAGTTGATAAAGAAATATCATCTTTACGAAAATCCGTTCTTAATTATCGTAGTTGAAAGTGAATTACTTTTACCAACGGATAATCCGTTTCTAATTACCAATAGATTGTATCTGTTGGTAATATTCGGTACGTTACCTACGGATATTCCGTATGTGAAAGATTCAAATGTTAAGCGGTTACGTGAGACACTAAATATCTATTGATAAAGAAATATCATCGTTATCAACGAAAAATTCGTTGTTGATTATCGTAGCTAAAAGTGAATAACTTTTATCAACGGATAATCCGTTTCTAATTACCGATGGATGCAATCCGTTAGTAATTTTCTGTAGGTGAAAAGCTGTTCTTTAGTAGTGATGTGAACATACTTAAAAGATTACTATATTTATTAAACTTTGAAAAATAAGTATTTGTGTTAAAATGTGTCATAAACCAGAGCGTAAAAAAGAAAAGAATGAAAAAGTCAATAGGTTTATTTGTATTTTATTGAAGACCAGAACCCATATCTTGAAAGTTAGAACTTTCCATGGCTTGACGGAAGTTGATTGGATCATCTTCCACCATTCCAATGTCAATTCCATGTTCTTGGAGAAATACGATGTAATCATTTGAAATCGCACTTCTCCTCTCTCTAGTGGATCTTCTTAATGGCATTGGTTCTTGATGCTGTAGAGTTTGTTCTTCTGAAACAATTTGTTGATCTTGAGAGGGAGGTATGACATTATCTTGATCCAGAGTTGTTTCTTGACTAATATCAGGGATAGAAACATGATCATTGTCAATGGCAATTGGAGGAATTTCAACATATTCCTCCTCAAAGACAAAGCCTGTAACCTTTTCTCCCCCGACAAACTCAACATCCTCAAAGAACCGAGCATTTTCTATCTCGAAAATTGCCTTAGTTGTGGGATCATAAAACTTGTAACCCCTGGACCTTTTAGAATATCCAATAAAATAGCAATTGATGGTCCTTGCGTCCAGTTTCTTTTCATTTGGCTTATAGGGCCTTGCCTCAGTTGGACGCCCTCAAATATTTATATGCTTCAAACTAGGCTTCTTGCCCATTCAAAGCTCGTATGGGGTTCTATCAGTGGCCTTAGTTGGAACTAAGTTGAGTATATAAGCTGCGGTCTTTAATGCTTCACCCCAGAGAGATTCTGGTAAGGTAGAATGACTAATCATAGTCCTCACCATGTCCTTAAGCGTTCTGTTTCGTCTTTCAGCAACACCATTCATAGTGGGCGAACCCGGCATAGTGTACTGTGGGACGATACCGCATTCCTCTAGGAATTTAGCAAATGATCTTGGACGCTGTTCACTTGAATTGTCATAGCTGCCATAGTATTCAACCCCATGGTCAGATCTGATGCTTTTAATCCTTTTGCCGAGTTGGTTCTCAACTTCAGCTTTATAGTTTTTGAACACATCCAGTGACTGTGATTTTTCATGAATAAGATATACGTAGCCATATCTTGAAAAGTCGTCTATGAACGTTATAAAATATTGTTGACCATTCCAAGAACTCATAAGAAATGGTCCACAAATATCCGTATGTATAAGTTCTAAGACGTCCTAAGTTCTATTGACTTGAAATCTCCTTTTATTGGTTTGTTTTTTCTTTATACAGTTGACAGACAAATCATAATCTGTGAAGTTAAAAGGGTCGATAATCCCGTCTGACACAAGTCTCTCAATTCTCCTTTTGGAGATGTGACCAAATCTCTTGTGCCACAACGAGCCAGAATTCTCGTCGGTTAATTTTCGCTTTACACCTCGAGTACTTACATACAGGGATTCATTAAAAGAAGAAATTGTATCAATTGAATAAAGATTATCGTAGCTTGATAAAGAACCAAAACCAACCAATTTTGAGTCATGAAATAAACTAAAATTTTCATTTCCAGATGAACAAGTATAGCCAAATTTGTCCAAAACGGAAATAGAAATCAAATTCCATCTAAAAGATGGTACAATAAATATCTCAACAAGATCCAAATAAAATCCAGTCTTTAACAATAATCTAAATTTTCCTATTGTCTCTACTTCCATTCTTTTGCCGTCGCCAGCATAGATGTATCTTTCACCATCACTTGGTTTTCGACAACTCAAGCAACCCTGTATAGACATACTGATGTGAATTGTTGCACTAGAATCTATCCACCATGTATGTCTAGCTACCGAAGTTAAATTCACCTCAGAACAAACCAAATGAAGAAAAATACCTTTCTTTACACGCCATGCGTGGTAATTGGTGCAATTCTTCTTCTTATGACCTGCAACTCCACAGAAGAAACAACCACCTTCAGTTGGTTCCTTATATTGTTTCTTTTGCAGTGCCGTACCCGCAGCTTCCTTATTAATCTTCCTTTTCTTGTTCCTTTTGTCCTTAGAGGCGGTGGCCAAATGAGCACTTTCTGTCTTCTCATGCTTCAGTCTCTCCTCTTCCTGGACACAGTGTGAGATGAGCTCATTAAGGGATCATGAGTCCTTTTGACAGTTGTAGCTCACCTTGAATTGACTAAAATGTGCCAGAAAGGATATCAGAATCAAGTGCACCAACAAGTTTTTAGATAAATCTAACTTGAGTGCCTTTAGTTTTGAAGCAATGTGAGACATTTCCAAAATGTACTCCCGAATGTTTCCTTTCCCTTTATACCTCATTGAGACAAGGTTCGCCAAAAGTGTACTTGTTTCAGCCTCTTCATTCTTGGCAAACCTCTTTTCAAGATCTTCAAGGAAACCCTTAGCCGTAGTCACCTTATCGGACATAATGCTCCAGAATGCTTCTGGAATAGCACGCTTCATGACCATTAAGCTTATGCAGTTCGATTGTTCCCACTTTTCCATCTCCCTCTTGTCATCAGAGGTACTCTTATCAGTAAGTGCAGCAGGTTGATCGACCCGTAAAGCAAGGTCTAGGTCCATGACTCCGAGAACAATCATAACGTTTTCTTGCCATGCCCTAAAGTTTGTGCCATTTAACATTGGAATTGAATTGATGCTAACAGAGATATTAGCAGCAGAATCGAAAACTGAATTAGAGAACGTTTATTATGAATAGCTCACATAAATATCTTTAATATGCAAATAATAATAATCTCAAATAGTGGTAGGCCCCATCATAAGATACCAAGCACAACATCAATATATAGTCTTTGGACAGAGATATTGACTTGTAAGCGGTACTCTTGGCGTAGTGATCAAACATTGACGATAAAATAACGTGTCAATCAACAAACCTTTCTTTGGATCAATTTATTGATCACACATTAAACCAAATAATCGTCACACGTTTATCACCACAGGTGCACGTGTATTCGGCTAAATATTGACCTTCCTTTGGGCCGACCAATATTCCCATGAATAACACATGCACAAACACCTTTTAATATTTCAAGTTAGTCAATTTCCACAAGAGATGATGCTTTGGCAATATGTTGCTTCAATTAACCAACATTCGAATATTATATCTCTTAAAAGAGTCTTTAGTACCAAAATTTGAGAAAGAGAATCACCAATTTTGCATATTTTGTTTAGTTTTAAACTTTAGGGGCCTTAGGATTAATAATTCAAAACTTTAAGGGGGCTAAATTAATTAATTCAATACTTTAGACGATCAATTAGAACAAATTTTAAAACTTTAGGGGTCAAAATTGATCAATTCAAAACTTTAGGGATCAAATTTTAAAAATTTGAAACTTTAGGGGTCAATTTGAATTAATTATGAACTTAGGGGGCCAATTTGAATTAATAATTAAATTTTGAGGGCTTTAATTACAAAATTCAGAACTTTAATGACCCGAATTAATTAAATTTAAATCTTAGGGACTGAATTATTAAATTCAAAACTTAAAGGCCCAAATCTTAATATAACTTAAAGGTTAGGGACTGAAACATTAATTTTATAACCCTAACCCTAATTGCAAGCAGGGGCCTCAAATTCCTAATTTACTTAAGAAGCCCCCGCCCCCAAAATCAACCAAAAAATGAAAGCCCCAAAAAAAAAAAAAAAAAAATTCTTCTTTTCTTTTGTATTGGGCGGCGCCGCGAACAGAGGCGCCCCTCCCACCCACCACACAGCAGCCTCGACGCTGCTATACAGTGGCAAGCAAAATTTAATTAATTTTTTTTTAAAACTGAATCTAAATCTGATTTCAAAATCCATAAAGTTCCAAATCTGAAGTTTCTCAACCATTAATCCGAATTACGAAAATAACAAAAATTATATCACAAAAGTTTTCAAATTCAACAAAATATAAATCCTAAATCATCAAATCTAAAAACTTTATAAAATATTGCAAGAACCAAATTAAATTATTCGATTCTCAATGATTCAACATGAAGATGCTCTGATACCACTTGTAGGATAATTTAATACTTTAAATCACCGGATCTTTCATGTTAAATCATTAACAAATACAAGAATTAAAGCGGAAGAGTACTTGAATCAGACATGGTTAATGCAATAATGAATTTCGCGGTATAGTCTTCCAAATCTACACGCAGTCTCCTTTTCTTCTCTGTAATGAGATGCAGAAGAGAATAAATAATCCGTGCATGTGATCTGGGAACCATAACCTATTTATATAGCGACGCACTTTGACCTAATTCGACCCATCATAGAATTAGGACTTGAGCCCGGTCTCTACACATGTGTAAATCTACACTTTAATTGGATACATTAAAGCTCAAAATAGAAGTCTTATTAGATCACTTTAATTAGGTTCAACCAAATTCGATAGCCTATAATTTAACACACAATTATTCACACATATAAGCCCATCTATTGATTAAAAAATCCTCAAAAGAAAATTATTAGAGGAGATTGGAAGGATGGATGGAAAATCATCTCTCATGAGTTTCTCAAACTTGCTCGTTAGCTTTGGGAAAGTGACTCGTACGTTGTCCCTGTTTTTATGGAACCAAACTTGTATAGTTTTTCTAAATAACTCAAACAACGCTACAGTAGGTTAGTTAATGACTGCCTTTGTGAACTCATTCGCTGCTTTCACCACATTAGATGTCATTGTTGAAAATCTTTTAGCTGGCATGTGGAATCTTGACCATTAGTCAAGTCCAACTTCTTCCTGCAAACAGAAAACAGCATAATGCAGTTAATATATACACTGGCCTATATATGAATTCAAATTGTGAAACAAAGTATGTAGTTGTTAACTGGTGTGTTTGTCAAGCACACAAATTAGAAATTAGTTAACTGAAGGATACCGTCCTAATAAATCTAGGTGACTGATTGTTGATTATTGAAGACTTTTGGTTTTTTCCACATGATGAAATATGAAGAGTGTTAGAGAGGAAGATGAAGAGTGTTGGAGAGGAAGATGAAGAGATGGATGCATTCACCATCATTATTAGTCATTATTAATGGATGCATTCATCATCATTATTAGTCATTATTATTCTTCTTAATTGTGTGACTCTTAGTAGTCTTATGCTATCTTATAAATAGGTTTGCCATGTACTCAAATCATATAATTCATATATAAAAAAAAAAGTTTCTCTCAAAATATCCTTTGTTCTGTTCTTATTACTGAACTGATCCGGTCTTGATAGAATCTATCCTTATTTCCGCTGCATACTAAAATCACAATCAGAACAAACATTTGGTATCAGAGCACTCCTGATCTTAAAGGCCTGTGAGAAAGAGGAAAAATGGCAAATTCTACTCTAACTTCAATGCCTATCCCCATGATGTTTGGAGGCGAAAACTATGAGTATTGGTCTGTCAGAATGAGGGCTTTCTTGATGGCACATGATCTATGGGAGATTGTTGAAGAAGGTTATATTCCACAGGAGTTTGATGCAGACCCTACTGTGAATCAAATGAGGCAAGAGAAGGATCGTAGAATAAAAAATATGAAGGCTCTTACCTTCTTGCACTTTTCTGTCACTGAGATAATTTTTCCCAAGATTGTGGCTGTTACAACAGCAAAAGAGGCTTGGGATAAATTACAAGAAGAGTACAAAGGGTCTGAGCAAGTGAGAGCAATAAGATTGCAAACTTTGAGCAGAGAGTTTGAAAATCTAAGGATGAAGGATGCTGAATCCGTAAAGGACTACTCTTCTAGAGTGGCTAATGTGGTGAATTAGCTTAAATTGAATGGAGAGGACGTACCAGACAAAAGAGTGGTGCAAAAAATGTTGATTACCTTACCCGAAAAGTTTGATGCTGTTACCACGGCTATAGAGCATACAAAGGATCTGTCAAGTCTTTCTTTAACTGAACTTACAGGTGCTTTGTTAGCCTATGAGCAAAGGTTAACGTCAAGATCTGAGGTAACTATTGAAGGAGCTCTTGCGGCAAAGTTTAAACCGCAAAGTTCAAGTGAAGGTGAAGGAAAACAACACCAAGAAGGGAAGAAGAAAGGCAAAGGAGACTCATTTTCTCCTTGTATTCATTGTGGAAAAACCAACCATCTTGAAAAAAAGTGTTGGAAGACAAAGCAATGCAAATTTTGCAAGCAAGTGGACCATATTGAAAAGTTTTGTAGAGCCAAAAAGCAGAATCTAAATCAGCCACAATATCAACAAAGAAATCAAAATCAGCAAGCAGCATCTGCACACGAAAGAAATGGTGAAAACCATTTGTTTGTAGCTGTTCATGGAGCTGAATTGAGTAGCAAGGAAACATGGTCTGTAGACAGTGGTTGCACCAATCATATGACCAATATGGAGCAGATTTTTCGCAATTTAGACACAAATGTGAAGGCCACGGTGAAAATTGGAAGCGGAGGAGTCCTACCAGCCAAAGGTAAGGGTACCATTGCTATCCAAACAAAGAAAGGTACAAGATATATTGATGAAGTACTTTTAGTACCTGGCTTGGATTCAAATTTACTAAGTGTGGATCAAATGCTTGAAAAGAAATATGCTGTGCATTTTCGAGATATGAAATGCAAAATCTATGATCCTCATGATGTTGAAATTGCTAGTTTGCCTATGCATAATAGAAGTTTTAGCATTCAATGGCATAGCTTACTTGCAAATATGTCTAGAGTTGATGTGGATGAATCTGATTTGTGGCATAGAAGATATGGTCATTATAATTACAAGTCTTTGTCATATGTGCATTCTCATGGCATGGTGAGAGATTTGCCTAAAATTCATGAATCTGGAGGAGTATGTGAGAGCTGTAGTTTGGGGAAAATGCATAGAGAGTCATTTTCTAATGATGGTGCAGGAGGGTATCTGGAAAATTGCAGCTTGTGCATACTGATATTTGTGGTCCCATGAAAACTCCATCCTTGAGTCATAATTTGTATTTTGTACTATTCATTGATGACTTTACAAGAATGTGTTGGGTGTACTTCATGAGAAACAAGTCAGATGTGTTCAATGTGTTCAAAAAATTCAAGAATATGGTGGAGGCACAATCTGGATGTAAAATTCAGACCTTGAGATCGGATAATGGCAAGGAGTATACATCTACCAACTTCAATCAATTCTGTGAGGATTATGGAGTTCATCGGCAGCTTACCATTCCCTACACTCCGCAACAAAATGGAGTGGCAGAAAGGAAAAATAGATCTGTCATGGAGATGGCCAGACGTATGCTAGCTGAGAAGGGACTTCCAAATTCTTTTTGG